TTCTACATGTTTTGGTTCATTTTCAGTGGCAGGTTGAGATTCAGTGTTTTGGTTCATTTGCTGTTTTTTCTCCAGTGGCAGGATGACATTCAATGTGCATCCTGGATTTTCTTAATTTTGTGTGGTCAAAGGACATTGTGTAAAGTTTAATTTGCTGTAATATGCAACCTCGCTTTATCCCTCATTGTTAAGTCTCTCTTGCTGTTGTGCTCATTTGTAAAATTTGGGCTGATTGAAAAGAATTCTTCTTTGAGCTCTTCTCCGTGTACTTTTGTTCCAAGAGCTTTATGCTACCTATTGCAAGTTACAAGGGGTCAACAGTTGTACTAGTTGCCTTGTTTCACTAATATGTTCGATTTTGGGCAAATCAGGCATAAGTATATTGGAAATGCATATTCAGGAAGTTCACTCTGTATTGTAAATCTTTCATTTTTCACAGATTTTCAATAATTTCCTGCACACGGAGTATGGGGGCCCCGGAACACTAATGGTGGATCCTTTCATCGACATGGCAGATACCTTAAATGAGAGAGGCTTACCTGGTGGGCCTCAAACGGCCCGGGCGGCTGTTAAATGGGCTCAGGCCCATGTGGACGAGGACTGGGATGAGTGGACTAGCAGCTAGAGCTTTTATCGGTTGTTTGTGAGACGCGAACAAGATTCAAGATATTAGCCTACTAAGTGTGGCTGTGTGCTTAAGAATTGTAGCTAGCAGTCTATGGTTTAACCATTGCTGAGCTGCTGTTGTGCTGCCACCAGGACCGACACTAGCGCTCCAGTCCCAGCGCTGTGGAGTGCATTTTTTTTTAAATGTTAGTTGAGTTTCTTAAATATAGTAATAGGTATCTAATGTTTTAGTTTATAATTTGACTATTTCTATTATTTAATTTCTGTTTGTTAAATTTCAAATATTATGATAATTATTATATTGCTGCTTTGTGTTTTCAGTTTAATAATCATTTGTGTTCTTACCCTTTGTGAAGATATTTTGATGTTATTTTTGTTACTTGGGCATAGTGAATGCGTCATCTATAACATCGTGTGACTTATGTAGTCGAGGTCTCATCATGGCGAATTACCTCGTCTCGTGCCAAGGTCATGGGCCATTGCCGTGCCATTTAAAACTATGTAATGGACATTTGATCTACTGTTCCATGTGTATTTCACTTTCACTCATTTGGATGATTGCCATTTAAAACAATGTAATGGACATTTGATCAATTGTGTGTATTTCACTCATTTGGATGATTGACACCGATTTATATAATGACTGAAATTCATGTAGTTGATGACCTAAACGTTGTAAGTGAATTGTTGGTAGAGAAATGGATGGTGGAAAAGAAACTCTAAAATCCGATGCTAGATGTAGGGGTATTGTCCCCACACATTGATTTAGGTGTGTGTATATGTAAATCAAGTGGGGGCAGCATCCCATATATAGCATCAAATTTTCCGAGAAACTCTGTTCTTGTAACTGTCATGAGAACAATTAAGCTAACAATATAAGTCTGAAATGTGAATAAAAATTATCTTNATAATATACATAATACATATATGCACAGAAATTGTGAAATTCAGTCTACATGCTTTTAACATTTGTAAAGAAGCACCTGAGCAACCAAGTACGTCAAAAGCGTAGTAATTCTGCTACCAAAAGAGATGCCAAAGGCCACAAAATCATTCCCAATTACTTCTAAACAGAAACTTCCCAATATCTAAAAGCCAAAAACTCCAAATATTAGAATTTAACCATATCCCTCTAATATGGCTACAAAAGGTTCTGGAAAAGAAGCTTCGCGAACCTAAAATTCTATTGAAGAAATCCTTCAGTCAGTCTCACGGTCAAGATTTAAAACCATCTACATACTTGATTCAAACGTTCTCATAATTGCTTTTCCCGAATGCGCTCAAGTAGTTCTTCCCAATCAATAAAGCGCTCGAGCAATTCTGTCTCCTTCAGCACCAGGCAATCATCACCCTTTCCAAACCAATCATAGCGCTTTTTCGCCACGTAATCGTAAATGGCATCCCTCAAAGGAGCTGGAATAATCATTAGGGAACTCAATGCGGAATAGGGCAGGGGCAAATATGACAAAACCCTCAGAGCAGCTGCACAAAAGTGAGAAAAGATTATGCCGTCAGCAGCTCGTTTATTTTGTTTTCTCATTCCCTCCAGAAAATGAAATTAGGAGTAAGGACTTTACCAGCAGACCCTTGATGGTATGAACCGGGACCCTCAACAAACAGGAAACGGCGAAGAACATCTTCTCTAGTCAGCCCACTAACAATCATGTAAGGCTCGGCAGCATTTGATTGCAGACAACAGAACTTGATTTTTCTGTCTTTGTCGGCTCTAATGATCCACTTCACTCCTTCATATTGAAATATATCAAATCCATCTCTATAAATTGATACACCATCTTTATAAATTGATACACCAAAGCCAGATAAAACCAACTATAACCAACACAATTAGGGATTTACTTAAGGTGTCACAATATATCAAGTAGCACAGAGGATTCTTCAATTGGATTTTCTTTTTCTGCATAAGATAAGCTGAACATTAAGAAAACAGTTCCACACAAGATAACTCGAGTACTCGACCAATATGTAATTCTAGGTGCTTTTCCACAAGAATTTAGGGGTTTGGGTATATGAAAGTAGTAAAAAATGCATGCTATACTATTCAGAACATCAGTAGTAGCCACATTAAAGGTATTGCACGAGTGAAAAACTTAGTCTGCAGACCAATAAACACTTGTATGAGTGACCATACTTTTACACCTTGAAATTGCAAACCTGAAAAACACATCTCACAATCTAATCCAAGCAAGAAAAACTTGTAATGTCACACACGATTGGCAAAGCTATTCATCAAGGCTTTAAGAGTCAGCCATTGCAATTTCCTGTTCCGTTCTGATTGTAGTCTCTTCATCTTTCAATGTTGTACTTCACAGTCCCATATGACAAATTATACAACATAGATTTAGCTCACCACCAACTTGAAAATGGTAATCGCTCTCTCCCTCCCTCCTCAGAATACAGAAATCAATATGAGAAAAGGAATTAGGTCACGGAGTACAGAAATCATCTCACTAACAGAATGAAATCGCAAACTAGTTACAAAAAAAAGGGAAAAAATAGACAGTAGAACAAAGGGAAAAAGAATACCGGCGTGACAGAGATGGCAAACGCCGTCGTACACGACGACGCGCGGCCGGAGAACATCCGGCATCATCCCTAACGGCGTCGGGGCTGAAAGAGCCTCGTCGCTGAGCAGGAACTGCTCCGCCACAGACGCGCACTGGTGACGCGATGACGCCGTTTTGGCCGACGAGGAGTGGTGGCGAGGGTTAAAGAGCTTCGAAAATGTACGCCACTTCGCATTCCGATTCGTGGAAGTCGCCAGCGCAGCCCGGCAAAGCGCCGTCGTCATTGCGCTCCTCCGATCGATTATTTGTAGTTTCTAGAAGTCTTTTGCTGTGTTTCTTTGGTTACAAGTCGGTCTTATAGTCGATTCTACACAGTATACAAACGGCAGGGAAAAATAAAACAATTCGGCACTCTTGTTTACATAGTCCGTGCGATTCAAAATATAGAGATATTAAATGAGTAATTTTCATAGAGCTTGTCGGTTAAATAAATAGTATGATTAAATGAGTCAATTTCATAGGACTTGTCCGTTAAGGCTAAAACAAAATAGAGTTTGATCATTTATTTTCCACCTCCTTTCATCAACGTCATTCTTTAGTCGGAACGTTAAACTTGTGCCTATTAGCGCTAGCCTGTAAATTAGTATATTATCTCGATAACACGTATACAACATGATTGGTAAAAGGTAATGACATGAGAATGGAATGATTATTCTCTTACTCATTCTTTATTTCATGATTGGTATATTTTTTGAAAATGAATTACCATTCCAATGGGAATGGCAAAACTCATCTCCATGAGATTAGCTATTCTATAGAAAATGAAAGGTTTTCTCATTCCCATGTGTGTAGGAATCAATTTTCAAAAAATAAAATTAACAAAATAACAATAAAACTATAAATCATGATTAAAATATATTAAATAAAATTCAAATAAAAAAATTGAAAACATACTTTTATTTATTTTTTAATTAGATATATTAAATACTATAAAAATAAAACTAAAAAAGTATTATATATAATTTAAAAATATATTATTTTGTTTTTATATATTATTAAAAATATATTATTTTTAAAAATATATTATTAAAAATATATTATTTTATTTTTATATATTATTAAAAGTACATTTATATATAATTCATTAAAAGTATATTATTTTTTTAAAAAAAGCTTTTATTTATTTTTATAATAAAAAATGACAATGTCATTCCATTCAAGTCCTATTCCTTCTACATATCAAACGCATCAATGACAAAACTTGTTTCATTCCATTCCCATAATCATTCCACTTTTCAATTCATTCCATTCCTACGAAATACCATTCCATTATACCAATCATGTCATTATAGTAATATAAATTTGATTTTAGTAAATATATTTATTTCTTGATATAAGAAAAATAACAATTTTACTTATTCTTGTTCATCGTATAATACTCAATTATTATTGTAATATTTGTCGTAATATAATGTCATTATTATTATTTATAAAAGTTATTGAAGTAGTCTTCTTCTTCTTTTATTTTATATGAAGATAATTTTTAATGTAATTTAAATTATATAAATAAATTTAAAATAAAACATTGTGTACAAATATTTTACAGAATATACTCACATATTTTTTTAGAATTTATTTTTTTTATAATAATTAAACATCTTTGTTTTAGTAATGTCATGTACCCGGCTATGAAGTGGGCCGATTTTATAGTCTAGATAATTTATGTTCAATTGTTATGAACCTAGAGGATTTTGTAATTTTGTAATTTGTTTTGTATATTTTTTGGATTTTGTATGAATACTTGAAGATGTACTAAAAATGATAGGAAAACGTGTAAAGCAGATGAAGGCCATGCTCAGCTCCTTTTGGAAATACTCAGAAAATACCAAAACTTCACCAGGCAGAAGGTGAATTTGGCCAAGTCCTCATTATTTGTTAGCAAAAACTGTCCAGTGGAAGTGCAATAGAGAATCTGTGGTATTTTAAATGGCATATCTGTTCATGGATCAACCAGATATCTGGGGTTGCTGTTGGGCATTGGTAAATCGAAGAGAGAAGCTTTTTCCTTTATGATTGAAGCGGTGAAGAAGAGAATTTGGAGCTGGAAGAATAAGTTTCTTTCAGCGGCAGGGAAAGAAATATTGGTGAAAGCTGTTCTTAATGCATTACCGTTGTTTGTGATGGCATGTTTCTTGTTACCAGCGGGAGTGTGTAAGGAGGTGTGTAGTTTGATGGCCAAATTCTGGTGGAGTAGAGGTGAGGAACTACAGTCGGGACTTCATTGGAAATCCTGGGATAGACTATCTTTGCCGAAGGCAAACGGGAGGCTTGAATTTCAGGATATCAGAATTTTTAATAAGGCCCTTATTTGCAAGCAGTTGTGGAGAATACACACAATGCCTGAGTTGTTGGTGAGTAAGGTGCTAAAGCAGAAATACTTCTCTACTAGGTCTATTTTTTATTATAGGAAGGTGCAGGGAGCCTCATGGTTGTGGAACTCTTGGGCCACTTTGATTGATACTCTTCAAAGTGGAATGGAGATAACAATTATAAATGGAGTAGATACCAATATCACAGATTATTGCTGGGTGCCGGGTATTGAGGGAGGAAAACCGAGGCTCAGGAATCATGGAGTCGGAAGTTTCGCTGAAAGTCAAAGCTTTGTTGTGTCAAAGGGGAAATTGCTGGGATGTACCACTAGTCAAAGCTTTATTCCATGATGATGATGTGGAGAAGATCTTGCAAATTAACTCTCTGAATCACAGGTTGCCGGACAAACGGAAGTGTGCTTTTGAGACCAAAGGTATGTTTTCTGTTTCATCACTGTATGCTAAACTGATTGGAAGGAAAATTGTGGTGTATGAAGATGCTGAGAGCAGTGAAATGGCTGTTATGAATGCTAAATCGAGAGTGAGATGTTGAAAGTTGAAGGTGATGGGGAAAATTAAGCATTTTGTGTGGAAGTGCATTTCGAACATACTACCGGTTGGGGCTAATATTAGGAAGAAAGGGGTCGCCACAGATGGGATATGTCTGATTTGCGGTGAAGCGGAGGAGACACAAGAACATTTATTTTTTACATGTCCGAAGGCCCAGATTACGTGGAGATTAGCGCTGGTGCAATGGGAAAAAACTCAGTCCGAGCAAATGAATTTTAAGGAATGGTGGGGGTGGATTTGTTCTATGGATTTTAAGGAGTCTTCAATAGACCGCATCCAATTATCAACGTATAATTTGTGGTGGCTATGGAAGGCTATGAATTTGTGGATTTTTGAAAAGATTTAGAAACCGGAGCATTTGATTATTAAAAAGGCAGTGACAGATTGGATGGAATTCACGGAAGCCAGAAGTTGAGAAGAATGCAATTGAGCGGAGAAGATTTCTAGGTCTCGAGTCAGTGGTTATTTTTTCTGTTTAATTGGCATTTGCAGAGTTGAGTGTTTATCTGGTATTTCTATGTATTCTATCTACTTGTTTTGTTTTGGCTGGCTTAATGATTGTGAGGGTGGGAGGGATCAACCTATACAGGTTGCTTTTGACCTTTTAGAGTGTTGTTGGCAGGGTATTGATTTGGCTATTTAGACTGCTAGTGTAAGCAAGTCTCTCACTTGATTAGGCGCATTTGTGTTTTGATTGTAAATAAACGTTGTATCGTTTTGTTAGTTTGGAATGAGCATCTCTATCGTTAGAAAAAAAAAAACGTGTAAAAGGGGGAAAGAGAGAGAGAGTTTGGGAGGAGAGAGAAACAAGAGAGAGAGAGAGAGAGAGAGAGGAAAAGCTGTTAATTCATTCAATAATCCAAATCACTTTTCCTACATGTCTTTTATACTCATTCAACTGCCACTCACACACTCACCACTTAATTCCATAATGGGCTATTTAATATATATAAGCTCAAAACTAAACATAATAAAATGAATCCAACATAACAGACCCAATACGAAAACATAAATTATCTTGACTATAAAATCGGCCCACTCCATAGTCGGATACATGACAATACTCCCTCCTTGAAAGAGTCTCGTCCGCGAGACTCATATGTCGATGATGCAACCATTGCATCCAACGGGCTACTTTCTTCAAATCATCACATGCCCAAAAGCTAAATATTCGTGTAGTACCCCATATCTCAGTCCAGTCCATGAGATATCCCCCTTCAATTTGATATGGCTTCAAGTTAATGCTGACTGGGCCAAGCCCAATTGCAAGTAATTGAACCAACCCAAAGCCAGAATCTGCACCCTTGTCAGCTTAAAGCCTAACAACCTTTCCTTCTTGGCCCAATTCAATTTTTCTCAAGGCAGCCCAACACTCAATTAAAAACTCATTAATGCTCCAACCCAAATTCAGATGCAGCCCCACCAAAATCCAATTCTCGAAGCTTCGTACATTTTTCTCTCCACCATTAGAAATTCGACGATGCTCCGATCATCTTCTCCGGCCATCATACCTGGGAGAAATTCGCCGAGACCACGCGTCAGAATGCCCGCCTCTCTTCTCCAAGCTCGACGACCCGTTCTGCTTCTCCTCGACAATCTTGGTGATGGCGTATGAAATCGATATGATCCGCTCGTTCATCCCACGTCTCCTCGTCTTCGCCACTGCATTGCGGCCACACCCCAAAGACCACCGACGACTCGATCTCCTTCCAGATCGAGTCCAGATGTAGGGATCGCGACCCTTCTTTCGTTTTGCAGAGTCATCCATGGCTGGGGTAGGAAATTTTCCCAATCGAGGTTCAAAATCCAGCGCCGGCGACCCACGTTCCTCAGCTATCCGGCGACACCAGGCTTCCCGCCACCCGCTTGGATTCACCGCCCTTCCATAGCCTCGGATTACACCTAATTTCATTACGAAATTAGCCACCCAATCCAAATTCTGATAAAGCCCAGCCAAAAAATCCAATAGACCTCGAAGTTGCGGTTGTCTTCCACTCCTTACCAGAAATCCACAACCAGTAGCAGATCCGATCACCTAGAACACGCGTCCATCTGCCCGCCACGACTTGGAATCCGACTGAACCGAGCATTCTCTTGACCGCCGCATTTTTTCTCTATTCGTGGTTGTTGTCACTCTAGCGAGAGTAGACCATAAGTGCCTCCGCGTGGTCCGACGTGACACAGATCCCCTCTGACCAACAGTCTTCAGAAGCCGACGAGACCAAGCCTCTTCGAGGCCGCCGTGGAGCCTCATGCTCGTCCTCTATATACTGCCCTTGCTGTGTGTTCGTCTTCCCCGGTTTATCACGAAGCACGACCTTCTCGATGTCTTTCTTTTCTCGTGGAACAGCCCCAGGCAAAATGGACCTTCAGACTCCAAATCCCTTGAATTTGTCCCTAGAAGAACTGCTCAAGAGGTTTTGGGGATTCATTTAATTCACCGATGTGTTCCTTCATC